GACAGACAGAATTGTTACGGAGTGCCAGAGAATTGTTACTCACTCAGGGCCACAAACTTTACTTAGAGGCCACAGAATTTTTACTCAGGGACAGAATTGTTAGACAGAATTGTTACTTACTGAGTGCCAGAGAATTGTTACTCAGGGCCACAGAAACTTTACTTAGGGCCACAGAATTTTTACTCAGGGACAGACAGAATTGTTACTGAGTGCCAGAGAATTGTTACTCAGGGACAGACAGAATTGTTACTGAGTGCCAGAGAATTGTTACTCAGGGCCACAGAAACTTTACTTAGGGCCACAGAATTTTTACTCAGGGACAGACAGAATTGTTACTGAGTGCCAGAGAATTGTTACTCAGGGACACATAATCGTTGAATTAAAGAGTATGTCAGACAACATGCAGAGGAGGAGTGGCAGAGGAGGCAATTTTTTAGGAGCGAGCAGACGTGGCAGCAGAGGAAGGGGTCGAGGCAGCACTATTCGCAGCCAGAGGCCAGTGCTCCGGTGTCATCCAGCGGTCGTGTCTCCACCGACAACCCTGCCGTCATTGATTGGTTGGCTCGGTCGTCTTCCTCTTCCCAGGTCACCTCTGACACCTACAGCCAACGGTCGGTGGGTACGTCAGACACAACCGTTAGTTGGCATGGCCCGGGAGCAAGCCCACTGAAATCACATGTCCTCTACCTGCCCCTGTCCTTTGCTGTTCCCTCACCAAGCGAAGTATCGCATGCTGTGGGCTCAGCCCCACTGTACAGTGAGGAAGAGCTAACAGAGGGCGGTCAGGAACGGGGGGAGACATCGGCCTTTTCAGCAGCCAGGCGAAGAAGTACTGGCGAGGAGAGTGGCTCTGTAGCCGGTCTAGAGACAGGTCTGTCTCCTGACCCAGACGCAGCCGAGGGGGCTAGTAGTGAGGCGGAGACCGTACCTGATGATGAGGAGGTTGATCGCACTTGGCTGCCTCGTCGTCATCAGGCAATTTCTTCCGCATCATCAGGAGAAGAGGGTGCCAGCTTGGCAGCGAGCGAAACAGTCGGTGGGTTGCCCAGGAGGCAGCAGGGTCGCATCAGTGTCAGTGGAGCCAAACGGCCACGGAGTAGAGCACCAGCTCCACTGCAGCCTACCACCACGGCCAGTAGTGGTGCCCGGTGCGCACGGAGGAAGTAGCAGTCAGCCAGTGAGGAGTAGCGGGGGCAAAGTTTTCCTACTCGGTGGTGTGGCAATTTTTCGTCAAGCCGCCCGAGGAAGTAAACGTAGCCGTATGTCGACTATGTGGCCAGAAATGCAAGCGTGGCCAGGGGGCCCATGTTGGGACTACTACAGCGTTGCGTCAGCATATGCAGCGTCACCATTCGTTGGCCTGGGAAAACCGTGATAAAGATACGGCGGTTCTGCCTGCCCCAGCCCCCGCTCCATCACCCGCTCCTCCGTTACTTGCTCCGTCACCCGACGTCGTCAATCACCCTCTATCAGCCAGCCAGTCAAGGCTCCAACACCTCTGCTGAGGGGAGTTGTCGCTCGTTGGCATCTTCCGCTCGTTCAGATGCTCCTTCTCCTGCTACTCCTCTTCTCGGATTCCGTCAACAGTCTTTCTTGGAATCCGTTTCCAAGAGACAACAGTTTGCGAGCACGCACCCGACGGTGCAAAAGCTGAACGTCCTCCTGTCCAAGTTGCTGGTGCTGCAGTCCCTCCCTTTCCAACTGGTGGACTCAGCACCTTTCCGAGAAATGATGGCTTGTGCCGCGCCGCGGTGGAGAGTGCCAAGCCGTCATTTCTTTGCCCAAAAGGCAGTGCCAGCCCTGCATTCACATGTAGAAGAGATGGTGGGCCAGTCTTTGAGCATGTCGGTCTCTGCCAAAGTGCACGGCAGCGCCGACGTGTGGAGCTGTAACTACGGTCAGGGACAGTACATGTCATTTACGGCCCACTGGGTGAACGTGGTGCCGGCACAGCCGCACCAGCAACTTTGACAGGTCACGACGCTTTTGCCTCCACGTTTGCACGTCCTTGGTCCAGCAAACACATGTCCGCCTCTACCACCTCTTTTTCCGCCGTGTCCTCAGCCGCCCCCCCCCGTGCCAAGTCCCATTACCCGACCGGCATATCACATGTGCAGGGCGCAACGGTGTCACGCTGTGCTGCACCTGGTATGCCTTGGCGAACGTAGTCACACAGGGGAGGAACTGCTGAGTGTAATGAACAGAGAAATCGACAGATGGCTGTCTCCGCGCAAACTTAAAATCGGAACCATGTTGACCGACAACGGAAAGAACATGGTGTCTGCTCTGCGTCAAGGAAGGTTGTGCCATGCGCCATGCATGGCTCACGTGTTCAATCTGGTTGTCAAGCGGTTCCTAAAATCCACCATCCCACTGCAAGACATCCTTAAAATGTCACGTAAACTGTGCATGCATTTCAGCCATTCCTACACCGCAAAGAACACACCCTCATTGAGCTGCAGCGGCAGAACGGAATTCCACAGCATCGCCTGATCTGCGACGTTGCAACAAGGTGGAATTCAACCCTACACATGTTAGACCGCCTTTACGAGCAGCGAAAGGCCATCACCGATTTCCTTATGTTACAAGCGGATAAAGGTACTCCCCTGTGTAACTTAGATGTCAGCCATTGGCAGCTCATGCGTGACACCTGCCGCTTGCTCAGGCCCTTTGAGGAGGCCACGCTATTCGTGAGTCGGCAGGACTATGGGATGAACGACGACGTCATTCCTCTGTTGCACGTCCTGGAACAAATGCTGTTAACAATGGCTGGTCAGGGTGCGGTAGACGTGGCGCACAGATCTCAACGCCACATGACCCCTGTGGGGGGCAGGACAGGAAGAAGAGGAGGAGGTAGAGGAGGACATTTGTGCTCAGGAATTATTGAGTGAAATGGGTGGTTTTTTTCCACTCAGCGGACAGGAGTGGAGGAGCAGGAGCATCTGGTAGAGGAGGAGGAGGAGGAGACAGAGGACCCAGACGCACCGTGGCAGTATGCTGTGGAGATGGAGGCAGGGAGTCCCTCGCATTCCTTGGCACAAATGGCCCATAGCATGCTCGGTTGCTTGCGTAGCGACAGCCGAATAATAACCATCAGACAGAGGGATGACTTTTGGCTGTCCACCTTGTTGGACCCTCGCTACCGGTCCAAAATGGTGGCCTTTTTCACACCTGCTGAGAGGGAGGCCAAAATTACGTACTATAAAAAAACCACCTATGTAGTCAGTTGGTCTCTGCCTTTGTGCGCCAACGTCCATCCTCAGACACTGTGGGCCCTGTGCGCTCGCGTTCCGCTGGCATGGCAGCAGGGGAGGGGTGGGGTGGTAGGAGCAGTGGCAGCTCCACCAGCAGCGGCTGCCTCAGTCTGCAGTCGATGATGAGTAGCTTTCTTCACCAGCGCAGTGAGGAAACTACTAACCGCCGCAGCAGCAGCAGCAGCATCAGGTGGACCTGGAGCAGGAGCTCAAACAACAGGCTGGGCCTACTTGGACAGCACCCTGCCAACCGAGGTAGACAATCCCCTTGACTACTGGGCAACGAAACTTGACCTTTGGCCCCAACTAGCTGAATTTGCCCTTGAAAGGCTGTCATGCCCGGCCAGTAGCGTGGCATCGGAGCGCGTGTTTAGTGCGGCAGGAGGTATTGTAACTCCGCGGAGGACACGACTGTCCACCCAAAGTGTGGAGAGACTCACGTTTGTGAAAATGAATCAGGCGTGGATTAGTCTGGATTTCAAACCACCAGTTCCTGACACAACTGACTAAATCCGCCATGAATCATGCCTCAAACATGTGCCACTTTCAGGTCTCCTCACACACTGCTGGTGTGTTGAATTTTTTGACATAGGGTGCTGGCAGATTACGGGCCTCCTATAGCTGCTGCCAGGCCCCTAATCTGCCATAGGCCCCCCCTATATACCGCCTCCTCATGCTGCTGCCAAGTCCAGAGTCTCTCATGGGTCCCTGTACGGCCTCCCATTGCTGCTGTCTCCATCGCCACACTCTGCCATGTGCCACTTTCAGGTCTCTTCACACTGCTGTGTTTCAATTTTTTGACATAGGGTGCTGGCAGATTACGGGCCTCCCATAGCTGCTGCCAGGCCCCTAATCTGCCATGGGCCCCTATATACCGCCTCCTCATGCTGCTGCCAAGTCCAGAGTCTCTCATGGGGGTCCCTGTACGGCCTCCCATTGCTGCTGTCTCCATCGCCACACTCTGCCATGTGCCACTTTCAGGTCTCCTCACACACTGCTGTGTGTGTTGAATTTTTTGACATAGGGTGCTGGCAGATTACGGGCCTCCCATAGCTGCTGCCAGGCCCCTAATCTGCCATGGGCCCCTATATATACCGCCTCCTCATGCTGCTGCCAAGTCCAGAGTCTCTCATGGGTCCCTGTACGGCCTCCCATTGCTGCTGTCTCCATCGCCACACTCTGCCATGTGCCACACTTTCAGGTCTCTCACACACTGCTGTGTGTTGAATTTTTTGACATAGGGTGCTGGCAGATTACGGGCCTCCCATAGCTGCTGCCAGGCCCCTAATCTGCCATGGGCCCCTATATACCGCCTCCTCATGCTGCTGCTGCCAAGTCCAGAGTCTCTCATGGGTCCCTGTACGGCCTCCCATTGCTGCTGTCTCCATCGCCACACTCTGCCATGTGCCACTTTCAGGTCTCCTCACACTGCTGTTGTGTTGAATTTTTTGACATAGGGTGCTGGCAGATTACGGGCCTCCCATAGCTGCTGCCAGGCCCCTAATCTGCCATGGGCCCCTATATACCACCTCCTCCTCATGCTGCTGCCAAGTCCAGAGTCTCTCATGGGTCCCTGTACGGCCTCCCATTGCTGCTGTCTCCATCGCCACACTCCATGTGCCACTTTCAGGTCTCTTCACACTGCTGGTGTGTTGAATTTTTTGACATAGGGTGCTGGCAGATTACGGGCCTCCCATAGCTGCTGCCAGGCCCCTAATCTGCCATGGGCCCCTATATACCGCCTCCTCATGCTGCTGCCAAGTCCAGAGTCTCTCATGGGTCCCTGTACGGCCTCCCATTGCTGCTGTCTCCATCGCCACACTCTGCCATGTGCCACTTTCAGGTCTCCTCACACTGCTGTGTTTTGAATTTTTTGACATAGGGTGCTGGCAGATTACGGGCCTCCCATAGCTGCTGCCAGGCCCCTAATCTGCCATGGGCCCCTATATACCCGCCTCCTCATGCTGCTGCCAAGTCCAGAGTCTCTCATGGGTCCCTGTACGGCCTCCCATTGCTGCTGTCTCCATCGCCACACTCTGCCATGTGCCACTTTCAGGTCTCTCACACACACTGCTGGTGTGTTTTCAATTTTTTGACATAGGGTGCTGGCAGATTTACGGGCCTCCCATAGCTGCTGCCAGGCCCCTAATCTGCCATGGGCCCCTATATACCGCCTCCTCATGCTGCTGCCAAGTCCAGAGTCTCTCATGGGTCCCTGTACGGCCTCCCATTGCTGCTGTCTCCATCGCCACACTCTGCCATGTGCCACTTTCAGGTCTCTCACACACTGCTGTGTGTGTTTGAATTTTTTGACATAGGGTGCTGGCAGATTACGGGCCTCCCATAGCTGCTGCCAGGCCCCTAATCTGCCATGGGCCCCTATATACCGCCTCCTCATGCTGCTGCCAAGTCCAGAGTCTCTCATGGGTCCCTGTACGGCCTCCCATTGCTGCTGTCTCCATCGCCACACTCTGCCATGTGCCACTTTCAGGTCTCCTCACACACTGCTGTGTTTTGAATTTTTTGACATAGGGTGCTGGCAGAGATTACGGGCCTCCCATAGCTGCTGCCAGGCCCCTAATCTGCCATGGGCCCCTATATATACCGCCTCCTCATGCTGCTGCCAAGTCCAGAGTCTCTCATGGGTCCCTGTACGGCCTCCCATTGCTGCTGTCTCCATCGCCACACTCTGCCATGTGCCACTTTCAGGTCTCCTCACACACTGCTGGTGTGTTGAATTTTTTTTGACATAGGGTGCTGGCAGATTACGGGCCCCCATAGCTGCTGCCAGGCCCCTAATCTGCCATGGGCCCCTATATACCGCCTCCTCATGCTGCTGCCAAGTCCAGAGTCTCTCATGGGTCCCTGTACGGCCTCCCATTGCTGCTGTCTCCATCGCCACACTCTGCCATGTGCCACATTCAGGTCTCTTCACACTGCTTGTGTTTTCAATTTTTTGACATAGGGTGCTGGCAGATTACGGGCCTCCCATAGCTGCTGCCAGGCCCCTAATCTGCCATGGGCCCCTATATACCGCCTCCTCATGCTGCTGCCAAGTCCAGAGTCTCTCATGGGTCCCTGTACGGCCTCCATTGCTGCTGTCTCCATCGCCACACTCTGCCATGTGCCACTTTTTCAGGTCTCCTCACACTGCTGGTGTGTTGAATTTTTTGACATAGGGTGCTGGCAGATTACGGGCCTCCCATATAGCTGCCTGCCAGGCCCCCTAATCTGCCATGGGCCCCTATATATACCGCCTCCTCATGCTGCTGCCAAGTCCAGAGTCTCTCATGGGTCCCTGTACGGCCTCCCATTGCTGCTGTCTCCATCCATCGCCACACTCTGCCATGTGCCACTTTCAGGTCTCCTCACACTGCTGTGTGTTTGAATTTTTTGACATAGGGTGCTGGCAGATTACGGGCCTCCCATAGCTGCTGCCAGGCCCCTAATCTGCCATGGGCCCCTATATACCGCCTCCTCATGCTGCTGCCAAGTCCAGAGTCTCTCATGGGTCCCTGTACGGCCTCCCATTGCTGCTGTCTCCATCGCCACACTCTGCCATGTGCCACTTTCAGGTCTCTTCACACTGCTTGTGTTTTCAATTTTTTGACATAGGGTGCTGGCAGATTACGGGCCTCCCATAGCTGCTGCCAGGCCCCTAATCTGCCATGGGCCCCTATATATACCGCCTCCTCATGCTGCTGCCAAGTCCAGAGTCTCTCATGGGTCCCTGTACGGCCTCCCATTGCTGCTGTCTCCATCGCCACACTCTGCCATGTGCCACTTTCAGGTCTCTCACACTGCTGTGTGTGTTTCAAATTTTTTGACATAGGGTGCTGGCAGATTACGGGCCTCCCATAGCTGCTGCCAGGCCCCTAATCTGCCATGGGCCCCTATATACCGCCTCCTCATGCTGCTGCCAAGTCCAGAGTCTCTCATGGGTCCCTGTACGGCCTCCCATTGCTGCTGTCTCCATCGCCACACTCTGCCATGTGCCACTTTCAGGTCTCTTCACACTGCTGTGTTTTCAATTTTTTGACATAGGGTGCTGGCAGATTACGGGCCTCCCATAGCTGCTGCCAGGCCCCTAATCTGCCATGGGCCCCTATATACCGCCTCCTCATGCTGCTGCCAAGTCCAGAGTCTCTCATGGGTCCCTGTACGGCCTCCCATTGCTGCTGTCTCCATCGCCACACTCTGCCATGTGCCACTTTCAGGTCTCTCACACACTGCTGTTGTGTTGAATTTTTTGACATAGGGTGCTGGCAGATTACGGGCCTCCCATAGCTGCTGCCAGGCCCCTAATCTGCCATGGGCCCCTATATACCGCCTCCTCATGCTGCTGCCAAGTCCAGAGTCTCTCATGGGTCCCTGTACGGCCTCCCATTGCTGCTGTCTCCATCGCCACACTCTGCCATGTGCCACATTCAGGTCTCTTCACACTGCTTGTGTTTTCAATTTTTTGACATAGGGTGCTGGCAGATTACGGGCCTCCCATAGCTGCTGCCAGGCCCCTAATCTGCCATGGGCCCCTATATACCGCCTCCTCATGCTGCTGCCAAGTCCAGAGTCTCTCATGGGTCCCTGTACGGCCTCCCATTGCTGCTGTCTCCATCGCCACACTCTGCCATGTGCCACACTTTCAGGTCTCTCTTCACACTGCTGTGTGTGTTGAATTTTTTGACATAGGGTGCTGGCAGATTACGGGGGCCTCCCATAGCTGCTGCCAGGCCCCTAATCTGCCATGGGCCCCTATATACCGCCTCCTCATGCTGCTGCCAAGTCCAGAGTCTCTCATGGGTCCCTGTACGGCCTCCCATTGCTGCTGTCTCCATCGCCACACTCTGCCATGTGCCACATTCAGGTCTCTTCACACTGCTGTGTTTTCAATTTTTTGACATAGGGTGCTGGCAGATTACGGGCCTCCCATAGCTGCTGCCAGGCCCCTAATCTGCCATGGGCCCCTATATACCGCCTCCTCATGCTGCTGCCAAGTCCAGAGTCTCTCATGGGTCCCTGTACGGCCTCCCATTGCTGCTGTCTCCATCGCCACACTCTGCCATGTGCCACTTTCAGGTCTCCTCACACACTGCTGTTGTGTTGAATTTTTTGACATAGGGTGCTGGCAGATTACGGGCCCCATAGCTGCTGCCAGGCCCCTAATCTGCCATGGGCCCCTATATACCGCCTCCTCATGCTGCTGCCAAGTCCAGAGTCTCTCATGGGTCCCTGTACGGCCTCCCATTGCTGCTGTCTCCATCGCCACACTCTGCCATGTGCCACATTCAGGTCTCTTCACACTGCTGGTGTGTTGAATTTTTTGACATAGGGTGCTGGCAGATTACGGGCCTCCCATAGCTGCTGCCAGGCCCCTAATCTGCCATGGGGTCTCCTCACACACTGCTGTGTGTGTTGAATTTTTTGACATAGGGTGCTGGCAGATTACGGGCCTCCCATAGCTGCTGCCAGGCCCCTAATCTGCCATGGGCCCCTATATACCGCCTCCTCATGCTGCTGCCAAGTCCAGAGTCTCTCATGGGTCCCTGTACGGCCTCCCATTGCTGCTGTTTCCATCGCCACACTCTGCCATGTGCCACATTCAGGTCTCTTCACACTGCTGGTGTGTTGAATTTTTTGACATAGGGTGCTGGCAGATTACGGGCCTCCCATAGCTGCTGCCAGGCCCCTAATCTGCCATGGGCCCCTATATACCGCCTCCTCATGCTGCTGCCAAGTCCAGAGTCTCTCATGGGTCCCTGTACGGCCTCCCATTGCTGCTGCCAGGAGGCAGCAGGGTCGCAGCAGTGTCAGTGGAGGCAAACGGCCACGGAGTAGAGCACCAGCTCCACTGCAGCCTACCACCACGGCCAGTAGTGGTGCCTGTGTGCACGGAGGAAGTAGCAGTCAGCCAGTGAGAGTAGAGGAAAGTTTCCTACTCTGCGGTGTGGCAATTTTTCGTCAAGCCGCCCGAGGAAGTAAACGTAGCCGTATGTCGACTATGTGGCCAGAAAGTCAAGCGTGGCCAGGGGGCCCATGTTGGGACTACAGCGTTGCGTCAGCATATGCAGCGTCGCCATTCGGTGGCCTGGGAAAACCGTGATAAAGATACGGCGGTTCTGCCTGCCCCAGCCCAGGGTTCCATTTTGTCATAGGGTGCTGGCAGATTACAGGCCTCCCATAGGTGCTGCCAGGCCCCAAATCTGCCATGGACCCCCGTACCGCCTGGTCACGCTGCTGCTGGGCCCACAGTGTGACCTGGGTCCCTGTACCGCCTCCCATTGCTCCCACTCTGCCATGTGCCACTTTCAGGTCTCCTCACACTCCTGCTGGTTTCCATTTTGTCATAGGTTGCTGTATGGCCTCCCATTGCTGCTGCCTCCACCGCCACACTGTGGCTCCAAACACTGGTTTTGGCCCCGTGACTGGCCAAATGAGTGAAGTGTGCGGTGATTCTAAGATCGACGGCACTCATCTGCATGTCATACTGAGTGACAGTATTATTTCTCTTCCCCAGCAGACTCCAAGGGCATTTAAATTAAAGGTACAGTGTTCTGCACTAATATTAAGTCTCTCTGAAGCCTAGAAACACCCTTTTTTAAGTTAAATTCACAGCGAATTTATTCGACTCGAATCGAATATTGTCCACGAATTCGCCGAATCAGTCGAATCGAATTTTTCATTTCTTCGCTCATCTCTAGACATAACCAAACATCCACTGGAAATTGAGCTGCGCTGGGTGAGATGTTTGTAGGCCCAATCAAAATGTATGCATTGGAACTTTTTAAGGATGCTATTCTTAGGTGGCTCCATGCACCCAAGAGCTGGATTATGTGGCCTGTTGAGATGGAGATTGCTGAAATCAGTACTTCCCAGTTTTCTTTATAATTATGAACAGCAACAACAGAGCCAGAATGGACAGTCTTTTTCTGTTGACTGTGCCAATTCCAGCAAAGCTATTCTTGTGATTGCTTGCTGACAAACCTATTGATAATTGCTTGAATCACCTGAAAAGCGAAGTTCCACTTTCATTCCTCCTCCCCCTCTTCTAACACTCTTGGAGGTTTCTTCTTTTTCTGGCAACAGGTATCTCGTTTTGACAGATAAACACTCCCACTTTCATGCGAGTTACCTAGGTGATCCAAGAGGAAATTCACCCTCCCTCCCTCCCTGCCTATAACCTCTTGGGACATGTCACAGATCCAAGGAGGCTGCAGGTCCATGAACAAAGTGCAGTGTGACATACACATGTGCAGTGGGGAGCCAGCTGTGAAGCTGTAGGAAGTTGCAGATGGCTTCCCACATCCATGGTCATGGTTAGAAAGCCACACATCTATGGACATGGTTAAAAGGCCACACAGTTCATTATGGGCTAAAAAAAAATCTTCAGCACATAAATTCACCAGGACTGTCAATCTTGAGCCCATAGTAGGAACAATCCTCAACCCCATCTCTAACTGCAGCTCAGTGAGGCTTGCAATATTTGAATGTCCATAGCCTGATCACTGAAAACAAAGCTTTTCACCTATTAATGTGCTGCTGCTTGCAAATCAAAAAGGTTTAGTTCTAAAACTACAAATAACAATAACACAGCAGTTTAAAGTGCATCATGTATAAACCGAATACTAAATAAGCCTAATATAGAGCACTTACAGTAATACTTCATATTAATTGGAATGTGGCACATGCTTCTCTGCAGATGTACTCTGAAATAATGTATTAGAGAATTTGTTCACTGAATTATTCACCAGTGGCATTTGATTGTGTCAGATCAACTATCAATTCCATGTGTCTAAATTCTTTATGGATTAATTACATAAATATTCATACTATTGCATTAGATTGCCAGATGTGTAGCTAATAGTAGAGGTCTGATAGCACTCCCCTCCTTCCGCCAAAGACATAATTGTGCGTGATCTGGCGATCCAAGCACATATGTTTATGCACATATCTGTAAAATTAAAAAAAATTATCTTTGAATGTTTATAACCATGGCTGTGCATACCATGGCCCTTTATGGTCCATGCACACTGTATTTGAAAAAAAAAAAGCTTCCTTTCAGAAAACGCTGTATAAAAAAATGCACATGCACAGCATTTTTGTGCCGGTGTTTTAGCAGCCTTTAGGAGCATTAGCATTTCTAGGCCTTTTTACAACAGAACATAAGGGAAAAAAATG